GGAGGTGGAGGTGATGGTGGTGGAGGTGTAGATGGACGAGGAAGAGGCGGTGGCGGAGGCAGCGACGATGCAAGAAATGGAGGCAGTAGTGAAAGTGGTAACGGTGGCGTAGACGGAGGTGGGGGTGGAGATGGGGGCGAAGTAGGAGTAGTGGTGGTGATGGTGGCAGCGGAGACACAGGCGGAGGCGGAGGTAGAGATCAAGGGAAAGACAGAGATGGAGGCAGAGGCAGAGTGGTTGCGAAGGAGGAGGCGGAGATGGACGAGACGGTAATGGGGGAGGCCGAGATGGAGGAGGCGGAGACGTTGGTGGAGGTGCAGACAGAGGTAGAGGCGACAGTGGTAGTGGCGGAGGGAGATGAGGAGGAGGAGGAGGAGGAGGAAGAGGAAGAGGAAGAGGAGGAGAAGGTGAAGGAGGAGAAGGAGGAGAAGGAGAAGGAGAAGGAGAAGGAGAAGGAGAAGGAGAAGGAGAAGGAGAAGGAGAAGGAGAAGGAGCAGGAGAAGGAGAAGGAGAAGGAGGAGAAGAGGAGGAGGAGGAGGAGGAGGAGGAGAAGGAGGAGGAGAAGGAGGAGGAGAAGGAGGAGGAGAAGGAGGAGGACGACGGCGAAGACGACGAGGCGGTATCGGAGGCGGCGGCGATAGCAGAGGTGGATGCAGTAGTGAAGCTGGCGGTGGCGGTGGCGGTTGCGGTGGTCGTGAGGGGTGCAGTGATTGTGGTGTGTGGCGGAGACAAAAGCGGAGGTGGAGGTGGTGGCCGTGGCTGTGACTGTGGCGGATGCAGTGGCTCTGGCGGGGTCGGCGATGGCTGTGGAGGCGGCTGTGGCGCCGGTGGCGACTGAGAGAGCCGGTTGGACAGGTTTTCGTAACAGCCGCCGTTCTTGTCACACGGCGCAAATAACATGTGTCGTTTTCCTGAAGGTCGCTGACGTTAGAGGTCAAGTTGTACTCCACTGCGGGCGCATGGTCTTGTCGTCATTGAGTCCTGAATACGCTTGACGTGTGTGTCTGTGGTCACTTGGTGCCTAATTCTCTTAAAAGGACGGTGATGCGAAATTTGACACTGTCTACACAAGTAGTACATGAGGTAAGAAAACTTATATCACCAACACTAAGGTATTAATGGTTACGTGGTTTATAGATGAAACGGGGAGGGGGGTATCTTTGGAGACCACTCTTTAAATTGTGATTTTATTCTCTTTGACGAATCTAATAAATTAATAAATTGATGTAACTAATAACACACATGTGTATTCGTTTAACCCTAAAACATTATTGACTTTTTGCTCTGGAAATTAAACAATCGACTTTCTCCAATTAATATTTGTATTTAAATGCAAAACCTTTTACAAATATTGCCAAATAAATGCTGATTTATCTTTATTAAGAAGTAATTTATTAATGTATATTTCACATCTTAAATAGCACTAGTATTGTTAAAATATATTCTGAACTATTAGTTTTCGAGTGAACAGTTCCAATTGTTTTTATCCATAGCAAATAACGCTGTAATGACTCAAATAAATATAAGTAACAATTGTGAGAAATAGCATTATTTTCTTAACAAAAAGCAGATCATGAGCAATATCAATGATTTCCATCTACGAAACCTGTAAAATGAACAATCATTATGACCCTGCTCCTTCTCCTGGTGATATCGGGATTAAGAAATCAATTATGGAACAAAAAAGGAATAAAACGGATCAAAATATCGCTTATGTGAACTGTCAAAACAGCAGTCGCACTGTAACACGATTTGCTCTGTATGTTAGAAGAGACCTGCAGAAATATTACTGCAGACATTTTCAATAATAAAGCTGGCCCCCATTCTTTAATATGCAATCATTCTAGACATTTTGTTATAATGTAGTGCTTGTTAACCATTAATACAAAGGGAATTCCTCTGTGTCGTGTAACTCTTGCATATAATACAATAATACTTTTTGTTTTACTTGTATTTCAAATGGAGGGATAAGTTTGCTCCCAATTTTTATCTCAAATGTAGAAATCTAAATACTTATTACATATTGAGAATGTGAAATGCTAGAAGCAATACGATCTTACTTTACCAACATGAAATAAGTTAACGTCAGGTGCTCAAATCTGAACACCTCTTAAAATTAAAAAAACATGCACAAGAAGATACATTTTAATTAATCTGCTTACGTGACTACGAGGAAGACGTAAATACCCTGTTATCTTATCCGTGACAAAGTGTCGAGTATAAACGTCAAGTTGCACATGGGGAGTTAACATCGGAAGGTACTCACAGACCTTCTGCAACGGGGATGCCTCGGAGATTTAGTCGAAGTCTTAAAATACACAGGATTCAGAACTTTAAATGAAACTTCTTTAATTTGAACACGGAACAATACTGAAGCGGATCCCTTGACTGCAAGGGACAATATGGCAGAAACTGGGTTAATGTATCAAAAAGTAGAAATCTATCAACATTTACATACAAAAAACAAACAAAAACATACGAAAGAAATTTAAATTCGGATATATTAAGTTATCTAATATTAATAATAAAAAATTGATTCAGAAGAGAAAATTATAATAAAAATAGTTCGAAGTAAAAAGGTTTGGTTCACATTTGGATTTAACATTTCTCTCAGTTTGTATAAAGTAAACCTGTATGTAGTGTCAAATAGTCTTAGTATTTTTAAAATAAATAACTCTTCTCTGGATGTCAACAAAATAAGACAGAGATATCAATAGAAATATCAGTGGCCAAAGATGAAGGTAGAAAACATTAAGAATATAATTAGATATAAACTTATACATACGAAATAGAATTAGAAAGAGTGGTATATCCATTGAAAGTGAGAAAACAATAAAAAAAGGTAAATTAGGTAAATAGAGTGTTCGAGGCTTTGATAAGGCAAGAAGTATGAAAATAAATTTAATTAGGGCTAATTTTTTTGTAAATGTGCTTCGACTCAAAAATAAAAAAAAGAAATAATAGGGGTAAAAACATACAAAATGCGAATTTACAGGGAATAAGAAACTCCAAGTGAAAAGAGAGAGCAGCTCCTGCGGAAAACAGAACATAACTTCAGAGAAAAAAGAATACGAATCCAGAAGAAAATAGACTGTAGAGGAAACAGAGAAAGGCCCTTTAAAAAAGACGAAAGCGACTCTCGATGAAAGAAGAGAGCGACTCTCGAAGAAAGAAGTGAGAGACTCTTGAGGAAAGAAGAGAGCAACTCTCGTGAAAAGAAGATAGTGACTCACGAGGAAAGAAGTGAGAGACCCACGAGAAACGAAGAGAACGACTCTCGAGGATGAAAAAAGTGATTTTCGAGGAATGAAGAGAGTAACTCTCGAGGAAAGAAACTAGCAGCTTTCGAGGGAAAAAAGAGTGACTCGAAGGAAAAAAGAGTGACTCGTGAAGGAACAGACCTTCTCAGAAGGAACAGGCCCTCTCAGAAGGAACAGGCCCTCTCAGAAGGAACAGACTCTTTCAGAAGGAACAGAGCCTCTCAGAAGAAACAGACCCTCCCAGACGGAACAGACCCTCTCAGAAGGAACAGACCCTCTCAGAAGGAACAGACCCTCTCAGAAGGAACAGACCCCCTCAGAAGGAACAGACCCTCTCAGAAGGAACAGACTCTCCCAGAAAGAACAGACCCTCTCAGAAGGAACAGACTCTCTCAAAAGGAACAGACCCTCACGGAAGGAACAGACTCTCCCAGAAGGAACAGACCCTCTCAGAAGGAACAGAGCCTCTCAGAAGGAACAGACCCTCTCAGAAGGAACACGCCCTTTCAGAAGGAACAGACACTCTCATTAGGGGCAGACCCTCTCAGAAGGAACAAACCCATTTAAAAGGAGCAGCCCCTCTCAGGAGAGGCAGAGCGAGATTCCATATTCGAATCCGAGACGCCCCGAAGCATAGTCTCAGTGTGAGGATGGCAGGGGAGCGGGCGCGCTGCTGCGCGGGCGGGCGTACCTATGGAGTGGCGCGAGGGCTGCGAGTGGAAGGAGTAGTGCGACGCCAGGTCGCTGTCGGAGCCGTGCAGCTGCGAGCGCCGGCGCATGGGGCCGCCTCCCTCCGCTGCGCCACACACACACATTGCCATGCACACCTCCCGCCATGCACCGCCACGCAGTGACGCACGCGTGACAAATCAACAGAACCGTGCATGAGCGACTGTGTGAATGAACGCATGCACAATTGAGTGAATGGATGAACGCCTTGGTTAGTGAGTGTAAAAAATGAATGAATGCATGAATGAGTGTGAATGAATGAACGCCTTTATTAATGAGTTTATGAATGAACGAATGAATAAGTGTGTGAATGAATCAACGCCTTGATTCGTGAGTGTATGAATGAACGACTGTATAAGTGTGTGAATGAATCAACGCCTTGATTCGTGAGTGTATGAATGAACGAATGCATAAATTTGTGAATGAATGAACGCGTAAATTAGTGAAAGTAAATGATAGTATGAGTGTGAAAATGAAGAATAAGTAACTATCATTAAGGCCAAATGTTTATAAAAATAGCGACGATTAAACTTTACAAGGTTTTAAAGGTCGACTAGACTGTGCTGTCCCAAAACTCCTGATTTTCAAATATGGGTTTATGTGATCTGCAAATGGAGTTGGTAAGTGAAAATGAGTTCCTGTGTGTGAAAGTGAGAGTCTTATGGATTCATGCCAGCAGGACTGGATTAGTACCTTAAGGCATGCTAAACATTTCCCAACAAAATATGCTATTACCCCGTACGTCACAGTTCTTTACTGTTTTCATAATAAAACCAAATAAATAAAAATAGAGAGCTGCTAAGGGATGAGCAAAAATCATGGCACTTATATTTTTGTGAGAATACGCGCACGAGTGGAAAATGTGAAATATACACTAGAAAGTATAAACCAAGAGCATGATACATTTATAGACACAGACCAAAATTGTGTTTCTACATTAAAAAAAGAATTTCAAGAGACAACTGGTTTCACGTTCCAAAAAAGTAGCATATACGAGTTCACAAAATTCCAAAAAGGAACACATATGCGTCCTAAAGACCCGATTAGGCAGATGCTCATTTCCGTACGTGGTTGTCACGTTCGTTGCTGATCACTCGTTTTTACGCTACAAATATGACCATTGCCATGACTTTTTTGCCCCAACCCTTACACACACATTCTCCTATATTATATATATATATATATATATATATATATATATATATATTATATATATATACTATATATATATATTATATGGAGAACACTCTTCAACGGACGCCCCAAGCACCTGCTCAGCCAAGTTATCCAAAAGTATTAATCCACTCCTGCTACAAGCGTGCGTGCGTGCGTGCTCTGGTGCTTACCGTCTCCATGCTGCGAGTATGAGCCGGCACCCGGGCTGGTGACGTAGTCAGGGGCGTGCATTATGGACACCTTGCGTGACGGCCCTTCAGACCCTGTGCAACAGCGGCAGGCCGTTCTGCGCCAAGCGGGCGACATGCGCATGCGACCAGGGGAACGGTCTCATGCGCCTATCGTACGACACACGCATGCGACCAAAGTTATGGTTTCTTGTGCCCAGTGGGGGGACATGCGCATTACCAAACGCTTATGGACCAGGTGTGCTACATACGCATGCGACCACTTTCTGCGCCCAGTGTGCGACACGTGCATGCAACCACGGTCACGGTCGCTTGTTTCAAATGTGTGACATGCGTATGTGACCGACGGTTGCGAGGTGCAAACACGGTTATGTCTCATGTACAAAGAGTATAGCATGCAGATGCAACCATGGGAAAAGTCGCAGCCACTCAAACATCGAAAGTTATAGAACAACGTCCTTCATTGTCAGTTTGTTTGAATTGAAGGGCATTAATGTTTATTCCGCAAGGCCTCAGGAAAGTCTATCCGCACCGAGCAGAATCAGGGCCTCCTATTACAAATTGCATTTATTTTGGTAGCAAACAGATCACTGAGAAACAAGTGAAGAGGACTTCGCTTCTAGCATATGATATCATTCTGTTGAGTACGCAATTAATGTATTAATTTCTTAAAAGCGGCACCTTCAGCTACCTACATAATTTCTGTTGCTGACACTCTCGATAGCCACTGGTGCCTCTGCGGAGAAACTTTACTAGCGCACTACATATTCACAAAACTGTTTGTAGAATGGGATCATGTTTACGTACGCAACAGTGTTCATCTAGCAATATTATAATTAGTTTTTCACGCTTATTTAGTAGCAACCACAACCAAAATAATGAACCTCTTGATTTTGAAAATAATTGCTAAATGTATTTTTTTCTAATAGTACCAAGAAGCTGCACACGTTTCTTGTTGTAACATTGCATTAGTCTTTTTAAATGGCAGTTCTTTGGAAACGTCTCGATGCTATTAATGCTTCAATTCTTTGTCGTGGTAGAATACTGCACATTGGTAGTGTTTGAAGAAGTTGTCTTAAATGTCAATATACGAGTATAATCGTGATAATTTTAATGAGGGTTTATTGAAAATAGGTATTTGCTATGGTTTTTAGGAGTTTATAGTTACTTTACTGAACTATCTATTACTTACACGTAAATATTACATCTTGCCTACCGTTATTTCTAAATTTTGTTTGAAGTAAAATCTTTCATCAACACTCGACATTCACCTGCAGACCTACCACTTAATGACATATTTTAGTTTTTACGTACGTGAAAGTTAGAATTTTTAAATTGCCAGTATAACTCAAAAATAGTTCATCACAATGCGCGGAACAAATAATTACGATGAAATATAATAACAAAATATTCTGTTAAGTCTTTCGCGAAACTGAACGCTTTCCTTATTTTTTGTAACTCATAATCATATCAATATCTTCTGTGAAAATTCTGGTGCACCTCAAACACATCGACGTTCATCTGGTGTATAGGAACTTTCCATTGCAGTCTTTTTTCTAGCTATGAGAAAAAAAGCGAACCAATGAAAAGTGCAGTGCTTGTTCGTGCCAAGTAATTGAGCGTGAGTGTTAATGGAAATGAAGGTCTAAACGTACTCAAGAGCGCACTCTCTCCCACGAGCAATTTGAAGAAATTGAAGCAATGTTGGAATGCTCTGCCTACTTGCCACAATTCTGAAGAAGTTGTGTGCAGAAATCTCGGCGAATCGTAAAACAAACAAGAACGAATTATGAGCAATGCAAACAGTGAAATCTCCCTATTTCAAATTACTTTAGAGCAAGTAGTTGAAAGATTTCTTTCAGATCTAATTTTTTTTGGCTTTTATCTTATCCGATCTCCTTTATATGCTGGTTACTTGCGTGTTCGGAGTACATTAAACTATTCATTATTGTATCCAATATAATGTTTCTTCCGAGAGAGCCAAAGGGACTCTTTTATAATATCCGATGTGATAAATGGTACAAGTGAAGTCAAAAAATACCAATAATTATTTAGTTATACAGTTGAGAAATATGTAGAAAAATGTTAACAATCGGTGATCTGATAAGAAAAAACACTGAATATTGCATGTGGTCATGATGTACTTAATTGCAATCCTACGTTAGTGAATTATCAACTTGTACACAATGGCCTCATCTATCCACTTGCAAGATAAACACATATTCTTTTAGATGTTTAAAGTGTAGTTTCCAGTAAATATTAATTTGAACAGTTTTCACTAGAAATTTGAAATTTGAAAATACGGAATATCAATAATAAATACTTTGCGTAACTCGTTGTCATTTGACCGTGAATTGCATTTCCTTTCCCTGTTGAGTTTTTAAATTGATTCACAATTCTACCTTTGTACAGACTGGATTTCGTTTACATCGACCACCAAAGGGTCGTGGTTATAAATATATTTTTTTTCTCTTTGAAAAATAATTATTGAAAATATGAAATAGAATAACATTTATCTTCCAATGCAAAATTCCTTCTCTTAGTCATTTCACCAATTGGAAGGTTAAAAGCAAAAACGTAGTAAATTCAAAACAAAATCAAAACAAAAATTCATACTATAGAGCATAAAAAGCGAAACGAATATTTTAAGGAGCTGTGGTTTAAAAACTTTTTTTGTTCACATAACTGCGTTATATGAAGCTATTTTATATTGTATCAGTTGTATATTCGATCTTTAAAAAAAATAGCACGTTCACATCGTAATGAAATATGTGACTTTATATTACGACGTCTTTTTATCTAATAATGAACATCCATTAGCACACAGAAATTATCATGACCACATTTTTTTGTCGTAATAGGCGAATTGTTGTTGTAAGCGATGGCGCAATAAACGAGGTTCAGTTTATAGTGTATCCATTCACACCCGCAGTAAGCTTTTGTATCATACGCGTGCTTACTCACTAGTCCGGTCCAAAAAAATGTTCCTCGTTGGTTTTAAGTTTAATTACTCTTTTCAACATACAAGAAGTGATACTATTTTTGACTAGATTAATATAAAATATTTTTATCAGTCTGCAAGAAGTTAAACCTTGTTGTTATATATGTAGTGTGACTCTATAAAGCTTTTTTTAGTGTGTGAATTCTTTCGGGTAACATTTTTCTTTCCTGTGAACCTTTCAATTTCCACGCTTCTGATTTATACAACATCACACTCTTCCGACATAAATTATATGTAAGCAATAAACTTAGAGCGTTTTATGCTGAAGCAAATAATTGCACTATCTGTTATGCCGTTTGCAAATTACTTAAAACCGATACTAATTAAATGGGTCGGGAAAATCTAATTCTATAAATTGTTTTTTCTTAAGCATGTATTAAATAAAAAATACATAATTAGCCAATAAGCCAAATAGCCAATAAACAAATAAGTGCCAATAATAATTTCATTACAAATTTCTTTTAAGTACACATTTAACCAGAAGGTGCAGACTGCAGACTTTAGAGCAAGTTTGAACAAAAGTTTCAATTTATTTTAATTCTAAGACAGGGTTGTCCAACTTGTAAGGCCTCCAGGGTTACATCTAACACCTTTAACATGGTTGTGGGCCATATTTTCATTACTCAGGCAAACCACACCTCACTTCCCTGTAATGTTGATCTCATCATTTTGCCAGGCTGCCCTGAAACGGGGGGTTAGGGA